TAGAAAAGATAAGTCAAGCGAGCCTTCCAAAAAAGTATTGTAAAATAATATAAAAAAAATTTTCATCAATTGTGTAATGATTTTGTGACGTATCAACGGTTCCTCCTGTTGATTCATTGTACTGTAAGTAATGTATTTGCTTCCACCAAGGTATCTAGTCGCCTCCTCAAAGGGGCCCAAAACCGGAATCAGATCACGAAGCAAATCCCACTCATCTTTTGTCAACATTATTTTAGTCAGATGTTGTGAATCTTTTTTAGAATCAAGACTTGTATCCTTAGCTAATTCAACCTCTAGCACACGAATGTATTTTTCTAACTCCAAAAGACGGCACCATGCCAGGTAGCTGGAATTCCAGCGAGTAGGTACATCTGCGATTACATGTCTCAAATAAGTTGATGTTTTCTTAGCATCCTGAAATATGATACCGGTTAGTAAATTTTACCAGACTCATAAAAACTAAATAAACGTACGATAGATTGTTCCTTAAAAATACAAAATAAAATTAGTAATTTCAAATATAAATAAATAAAAGACAAAAAAATTTTTAAACCTCATTTGATCTTATGTATCGTTTTTGGATATCATCCAAACGCTCGGATTGCTTGGGCCTTAAAAAGAAATCGATCAGGCGCTTGGTACGGCCAACTAGAATCTTAACCGGTTCCAACCCCTTGCCAATCACCAACTGAATGGTATGTGCCGCACACGGTTGCCAGGTTACGTTTTTCACCGATTCTCTCAAGTCTTTAACAGCTTTTTGCATGTTCTTACCGTTATCAGTGGTTACTGTGAAAATCTTATCACGTAATTCCCACTCATCCAAAAATGAAAGAATGGTATCACTGATGTTTTCGGCGGTATGTGGATGACGGATATGCTCGACGGAAAGTGTGATCTCATGAAATTGAAATTTATGATCAAGGTAAGAACATGTTATGCCTAGAAAACCTTGTCTATTTTTCCCAGTCCAAAGATCACAAGTTAAAGATACAGAAGTTGAATCATTTTTTATTTTTTCCATGATTAATTTTAAAGAATGGTTGTAAGCAATATGTATAAGTTTCTTTATAGATTTAATACATGGAATTTTAAACTTTGGATCTAACTCGCTTATAAATTTTTTAAAAGCTGGGTTTTCAATAACAGTAAGTGGCTGAGAATCGGTTATGATCCAGTCCGTAAGGTATTGACACAATTGAAGTTGACGCGATTCATTGTGAGGTAAATTAGTTAGCTCCGTATCATTTTTATTTTTAGCCTGATTTTCAGTGATCCCATGAATGTTCGAAAGGTAAGTAGAGCAATTGCTTGTTAAATTTTTAACCTTGTATTTTACACCGCACTTTTTTCCTTTTACTACCTCAACCTTACAAACCGCATGTCTTACACCTTCAACAAACATGGGATCAAAGTACAACCAAATCCAACTTCTAACATTACTACCACCACGGGTATCATTGACCTTTGTCTTTTTATTAGAATTGTTATCAGATTTAGTCAATGCTTCAGCATTTTCCTTATCATAAGCAGACATTTTTTTAAAAAATAAAGATAAAACAGTGGTGTAAATCGTCTCTGATACTAAATAAAGTAAAACAATATAAGGATATTGTGCTATCCTATATTAATATAATAAACTGAACAGATTGACTGGATTGAATGGATGATCGGCAAAATGTATATGGATTGAACAGATTGCGCAGAAAAATACGGATTGCACAAAATTTGCGGATTTTGAACGGATATGCGGATTGTAAATCAACGGATCACATCACTACTACTGAACAATTAATTACTATTTGTTTTCGTCAATAATTTTTTGTTGCTATGTCGAAAAGCAGGCGAGTTTCAATATTCTCTAGAAGCAGGCAAGTTTAGGAGAAAATTAGGTAAAAGAGAGTAAAAATGGGAAGAATTTCAATATTCTCTGTGCGAAATTTGGAGGAAAAGTGGGAAAGAGCGGGCGTTTTTCTTTGGTTCTTTCTTTTAATAATTAAACATTCTTTATTAATTTCTGCTATGTTCTGAGAAAGAAACTATAAATAAAAAGTAAGTAAAAAAAGAAAAGGTCCTGGATTCAAACAATAATTAGAGTATAAGCTTTCAAAAGTGCATTAAAAATCAAATCTTGAATAATTTTTATAATTTATTTCTATTATCATTCTTTTTTTATTTATTGTCAATAGAAATTTGGTTACGGCAATCAACAAATATTTTTAGATTAGTGTATTTATCGGATTGTATGCTTTTAACAATCACTTTTTACTTTAAAGAATCGAAAAAAAAATCACTTACTAGATCAATTATGTTACTATTTGAAAAATATTATTGTCATGATCTACGTGAATTAACAATATCATGTGATTTTTGAAACTTTTTTGGGTGGCAATTTACCGTTACCCCATTCAATTTCTAATTAGTAATTTCTACGTAGAATTTTTTATTTGTTTATCATTCTATATATATATGTGTATATTTGATTAAAATTTTTTTTGCCGTTGGTAGTTCTTACTATTCCTTGTTATAATAAATATAACCATTATTAAGTCATTCTTTAAACAATATTAATTAAGTCATTCTTTAAACAACATTATTATAACATGGGTATTAATAAACCGATTTGGTATCATTTTGAGAAAAACTTGGACCAGACCCAGATTATAAACAAGAGAGTGCTAAATGTATTTAAAATATATTATTTTAACAAGAAATTATATTTCTAGTGATCGTTTATGTATATTTTTATAATTCATGAAAAATTAAAAAACTTTACTATATTCTACGAATCCCGCGCGGGATTCCGCGTGGGTTTTTTAAGAAACTGCGATTTGCCCATCACTAGTTGCAAGTCACGTAAATAAAATATTAGTAGAATCAGCCACAATTTACCATAAAGGTAAACCAGCAATAATCAAAAATGAAATGGTTGCTGCCAGACGTTCAGTAATACTTCGATACTGACCAATTATATTTTTTTGTATTTTTTTACAAAAATGGATAATTGATAAACATCGTAATACTGACCAATCATATTTTTTTGTATTTTCAAAAATGGATAATTGATAAACATCGTGATACTGACCAATCATATTTTTTTCAAAAATGGATAATTGATAAACAAAATCGCGTTATTAACCAATAATATTTTTCACAAATACGGATAATCATATTAATGATATAGTTATGATTTTATTTTAAAATCTAATTTCTTTGTCAAATAATTTATAATTTCAATTCAATTTATCAATAATATTTAAATCAATACAGTACTTCTAAGTCAATAGACACTTTATTAGAAATTTTATTATTATAGTATTCTATCGATAAAATAGATATAAATAAAGCATGTCATTTTTAACATACTATATTACAAACAAATGTCGTAATGATCGACGATGCTTTCAAAAAATTTAATGAGCTAAAAAAGGCTGATGAATATCTCAAAATTCTAGATATTTATTTAAGTCGCTTGCGCATAGATTATATTTTCGAATAAGAATTTCATGGCTACAGTGGCAGTGCAAGGACCTTAACAATTAGGCTCCACAGATTTGGGAGTAGTGCAAAGACTTTGTTCTTGCAACAATTAAGCAAGAATTTTATTGCTAAATCGAAGTATGTAAATTTGATGCGCAAATTAAAATATAAAAGTAAATATAAATTTACTTTAAAGATGCTCGATAATTCTTTTACAGATTCGTATCTCAAATCCAATAAATCGCCTTTAAGCAAGAAATTATCAACAAGCGATAACTTTATTGTATATCTTTTAGAAGATTCTAAACTAATTGAACTACAAATTTCTAATAATACAAATTATAATTTTAAAGTTAATACAAATTATAATTTTGAAGTTAATACAAATTATAATCTTAAAGTTAATACAAATTATAATTTTAAAGTTAATACAAATTATAATTTTAAAGTTAATACAAATTATAATTTTAAAGTTAATTAACAAGACAAAATTAGCTGCATAGTTGATTTCTCTAAACTACAATAATTTGATTTTTGCAAAGTATATTTGTTAAGATTTTATTGATTCAAGATTATTATAAAAAAATTAATACTCATGTGCGAGTGGCATTTAAGTTGGCAGTTAAAAGGGCAAATTGCATTGTGTGAAAAAAAAATAAAATTAAATATGAACCGTGCAAATTTTATTAAGGTATTTGATTTTCATTCACGTGATAACATAATTTATGCATTTGTTTATAAACTATGATAAAAATCGATACAAGGAATTCTGTCATTATTTTTTATAATAAAAATTTCTAATTGCGACATGTTTTTAATAATAATTCATTTATGATTGGTCTTTTCCACTTCCAAAAAAAGGAACAGAGCAGAAAGCAAAAAAAAACAAAAAAAAAAAAAAAAAAAAATTAAGTAATTGTTACAAACAATTAAAATTGTAAGCGCTCTTTGCAATATTTACTAATTCTAATATATTTTCCCCTTTAATGTTATGAAATTCAGGGAATTCAGGATTTCTCAATAATTTCTTAATCAGGAAATTATATTCGATTTCACTTGCACTGAGAAAATAATTTGCATTTAGCTTGACTTCGATCATCTCATTTGGCATAACATTTGTCATCCATAGGAAATGGTGCAGTTTCCAACATGCTGTCCACTTTCTCAAAATAGAACGTGAATTATTATTGCCAAATTTTTTGTTAATCTGAGCCTTTAAATCATTACCCTTCCAATTATCTGTAGTCTTCTCCAATGCAATTGGGCTCATTTCTTCTTGTTGTTCTTGTTGACAAAGTATCAGCAATATAAAAAAAAAATCAGACAATGAATATATTAGTTTTAGCATTTTATACTGTTGATCAATGATCTCTTTTTGACAATTTTCAAAGTGTTGATCCCATAATTGAAGGTACTTTAAACAACTGTCAACATCCTTCATCTGTTTTGGCAATGGCTCCAATGATACTTGTGTTGAACCCTCATTAAAATAATTTTCGATTGGTTGAGAATACATTCCAACTAGATTGTTTGTATTTGATGCAAAGTTGTCAGATATTCCTTTTATTTTTCTTAGTTTATTCAATCTCTCTGCATAATCTGATGGCGATTTAAGACGTTTGCTATAGGCAGTCAATCCTTCTAACAAAAATTATGAATAATTAAATTTGTAGTTCTTAAAAATAAATCTGAATTATTTAAATTTAAAACATACTATTAAATTTTGAAGTTGTGGAGTTCACAGGAGTACTTCCTAGGTCCTAAAAATTTAGTATAAATGAATGAGATTCATATTAAATTATAAATAAATTTTTAATACATGTAAAAATAGGATAAATTAAATATACTTACTGAACTTTCGTTGTTGGCTTGTTCATTATGCTCAGTTGTAATATTGGTATCTCCCTTTCATTGATAAATGAATAAGAAAAAACCAACATTAAAAAACAAAATATAGAGATTTCTTACCTGAGTTTCTGTTAAAATACTCGTGTGCGACTGCTCTGAATCATACTCTAATTATAAACATATAAATTTATAGTTTTGAATGTGCAGGTTTGAAAAATATGATCATATATCAACGCACGTACCTTCAGAAACAGCTTCAGACGAAGAGTATTGCATTCTTTTTTTCCCCTTTTTGTTACTTGATAAACTCGATGGATTTTTACATTTCCTTTTATTTGATTTCTTTGGAAAAAAAATTTTATAAGCAAGAAAAATTGTATGTTAGCAAAAATTTAACGAAACTTATCCGATTATTAACGCGCAGAGATTCAGTACCATCTTTCGTAGTGGCAGGGAGTGGATTATTAGGTTGTTCTGTAAAGCTTGTCCTTAAACTATTCTTTTGTTTAAATTTTATTATTAAATTATATTAGTGGTATAACATTTAACAATGTTGCCAATATTTTTGCAGCAGTAAAGTCTATATAAAAAATCTCATACTGTATCACACTTTCAATTAGAACAATTGGATATCGCCTAGTATAATTTGCCTTTTCGTATGTATGCTTTAAATAAAAAAAATAGTTAAGCATCTTACTCGCCAAATTTACCATTGAAATTGTCGATTCATTACCTGATAATCCATTAATTCATCAGATGGATTTAGTTCATTAATATTTGAAGTGGATATTTCTTGTTGATTGTTAATGATTGATGAAATTGAAAGCACATTCTTAATTAAAATAATGAAAGGAATAAGTGTATATAAAAAAAAAAAGAAAAAAATAAGCTAATAATAATGTTACAAACATTTCTATTGCTTTCTACAATGCTTGTTTCAGCATTAATGATGTTAGGGTTTGTTTTCTTACTAGGATTGTTGCTTTGGGTAACAGACGGTTTCTAGAAACTGTTCTATTAGTATATAATCATTGATAAAAATAGCTTATTTGTAACTTTTACCAATATTTCATTGACACTAGGCAAGGAATCCTCTGTCAAATCTGATGAAATTGAAAACATATTCACTCCTCTAACATCAACATCCTTTTTAATGATATAATTCAGGTAATATAATAATTGTTAAAATTCAAGAAAATTGAATTCAGTACTTCTTACATAAATGCCAATGCCTGATTTTTTACCTGATTAGTATTAGTATGCTCATATTCAATTTCTTCAAGATCATTTGAAGTTTGTAAAAGGTTCATCATCTTATTAGAATTTTGAAGCCAACCACTTGCTTGCGATTCTTCGACAGCAATATTTGTGTTCAATGATTCACACTCTAATCATAATAGAAGGTACATTAATTTACTGTTTAAAATTCTAGGGTTTTAGAAAAAAAAATCCAATTGCATACTATCAGGATCAGCATCAGACAATTCTGATGAAGTGTATTCCATTCGTTCTTTTGCTTTTTTGTTACTTGATGAATTCTTGGGATTTTTATAATATTCAACATTGTCAATAAACAGCATTTTTGCAGAGATAAAGTTTATAAAAAAAAAGGTTTATACCGTATTAACATTCAGATTTTGAACAATTGGATTATCCATTAATGCATCAGATGGATTGTTTTGGTTATTATTCAACAATGAAATTGATAGCGTATCCTTGATTTGGCGAAAGAAATAATATACATTTTAAAAAAGTAAATTGATCCAAGATCATTAGCCTTTTAGTTAATACAATTAATCGGTATTATTATCATTATTACATTTAGATGAGTATACAGTAAAACCATGCTTCGAGTATATAGATTATATATACTCTAAGCATCACCCATTTGGTTGATTAAGGTTCATCTACCTTATTAAATCGTTCGTCTTTCTTTGCAGCTTTAAACTTCGAATTTATCTTAAACTGATGCCTGTTAGTAAATTTACTTGTTTCTTTTGCCTCATGCATTAAAGTTAAAGCTGCATCAAAATTCAACTCATCATTTTCTTCATCGGTATTAGAATATTCATCTGAAAGAGTGTCAGCATGTTGTCTCGATTCCTTTTGAATTTTAATTGTTAAGAATGTTTTCAATTATATTAGAAAAAATAAATCTGACCATAATTCATAAAAACAATTTACCTGAGTATTAGTTTCCAAAGCTTGCGTCTCATCTCTTTTAGTGATCTCAAATATAATAGAAGACTGGTTCTAAGAATTTTATGCATTGGTGATCTAAAACGAATTTCGAAGTTTAATACATACTTTTTTTTCTTTGAGTCTTGAAGGTATGGATATAAGATGTAAAGTACTATCTTCCTCAACATCGAAGCTAGAATTTTGTGCACTTTCTTGAATGCCTCTTTCTGTTAATGAATTACTAGGTTCCTTTATAAGATTTTTTGCTTTGTTAGTTTCTATATGTAGCATAAACCTAAAAGATAATTGTAATTACCTCATCGTCATTGATTGCAATTTCCTTTTCATTCTGTTCGATATCTCTTAAAATCTTTATGAAGTTTTCTCTGGTAATGAGGACTACCTTTGAAGCATCTAAATTTAACGTTTTGGAAGTCCCATCATTCAAGTTAAATGTAACTGTGAATAATGGATTTTCTTTAAAGGTAACTAAAATTATTTTTCCATCAGTTGCTTTCCACAAAATATCGAAGGAATATTTTATAAGTTCGTCTCTATTATCCACTGTCTCAATCATTTTTTTAAATTGTTTAAAAATAGAAAATATGAATCTACTTAAACTGTTGTTTTTTAAATGATGTGATCATGAACATATTTTTTAACTGATTTTTTTAATATGACTAACACTATTTGATCACTATTACGACTACGACTATTATGTTATTCTGATTATTATGTAACATTTGAAAAAAAATTTTTCATTCTTATTAAAACTTTAAGCGTAACGTAAGCAACTAAATTTGATAATTTTTTTTTTACTAAAATAAATTTCATAAAACTTGCTTTTTGAAAACTATACCACACAGCCTTTAGATCTCCGCCGTCGTGTTTGTAGTTGTAAATGGTTTTGTTTTTATTTTTGAAAGAATTCTCAGCAGCATTAAAAAGTTTTTTTTTCAATCATTCATAGTATAAATTTGGGTCAAATTAAAGCATAACTAGGCTGAATTAATATAAATTTGAAGAATAAATTTGACTTAATTATTTGGGCCATAATAGAGTGTGAATTCAGAGCATAAATTAACAAGTTGAATTGTGCCGTAAAATCTCGAATTAAGGTCATATTCTTGGCTCAAATTAAGCTCAATTCCATCCCTGAGTGCTATTTTGAGATTTTACTTGGGCGAATTAAATCGTAAATTTGGTCGTGAATTTGGGCTGAATTTGAAGCATAAATTAATTTGGGTCGCCATAGAGGAATTAGAATAAAAAATTTGGCAAATTTAGAGTATTATCTAACAATTAAGTTGAATCATAAATTAAAACATAAATTTGGTCCGAATTAGATGGTCTATATTTGGGTCGAATTAAATTATAAATTTTAGTTGAACCGAATTAGAATAATGATAAATTTAGCCGAATTAGTACTATAGTTTATAGCGAAATAATCTACTAATAATTGTTAAGCTATTGTTGATTATAGCAAGTTTTTTTTGATGAGGGATATGAATTTCAAAAACGTACAAAGGTTGGATTTTGGTTAATTGCTTTTCTCTATAGAATTTTTAGCAGAAACTTTAGGTTAAATTTTTTGTATAGGTACGATTTTTGTTGTAACGAGATTCATTTTGTTAATGAAAAAAAACCAAATGTTTTATCTATTGAAATCATTATAAATTATGTTCATGGAGTAACTATTTACATGTTCTAAGTGGATATTAGGTATTGGGCTTTGTTCCAAACAAAATTCTGAAACAATTGGAAATTTAGCGCGAAGTTAAAGGATTCGAAAATATTGAATATCTGGGGTTAAGTCAATAGAAATCAAGCAAATTTTTTCTAAGTAAATTTTTTTTAAACTTTAAACAATAATAACTCAACAAAAACTTAATCAAATTTAATAAAATTTTTTTTAAATAAATTTTACAATTTGTTTAAAAAAATTTTTATTAAATTTGATCAAGTTTTGGTTAAGTTATTAATATATAAAGTTTAAAAAAAATTCAATAAAAATAATTTGCTTGATTTCTATTGACTCACTCCCATCTATTATATTAAATCCAATAGATATTCACTGAATTTAATATGAAAATGGAATCCAATGGATTTCGGGTCACATTACTAATACTATGATTTTATAAATGACGTAATTCGTGATTAAGTTGTTCTCGTGACCTTTAGATCTTTTCATGATTCGTAAATCAAAAAATTACCAATCATGTGAGCAGAAGTTAACCAATCAAATTATATATCATTTTACTATCAAGAAAAAAACGCAATAAGCAAATTTTTTTTATATTATCGTCATTTGTGTAGTTATTTATTAATGATCACATATTATAAACTACACAATTTTTTATACGAAGGATACAAATAGAATTTCTAAATTTCAAACTTTTTAAGTTTTTTTTAAAGAAATACTTTTGCAATATCTAACCTTTGAAGTTCTCTTTTATTGACATTTTTCTTTTCTTCAATAAGTTCAAAAAGCCTTGAATAACATTCAATTAGTTTCAATTTGTTCGAGGAAAAACCAAGATTCATATTCCATAATAATATTGTGTCCTTTTTTTCAGGTTTAGGTTTAGATAGTATAAATCCTATGAAATTATTTTGTTTATCAAGAATGGTAAGTGCGCCTTTAGGTTATCTAATTTGATATTCATTATTTACTCTAAATTCAATTTCCTCGCTACTTAATTTCCTTTCTTGATACATATATTTATATTCATGCTTCTGTGTTAAACATTATTTTCAGTAAAAGTTTCCTTGTGTTTTGCTCTCATATCAAATTTCTCTCATTTTTTTTCACTAGATTAATATTTGGCATATAATAGGTTTAAATTGCGATCGTCTGTGTACGTATAAAAATATTGATTCAATCAAGAACTAAATAGTGTGGATGTTAGAATAGATGCTCTATCATTTATTCTCCTACGGCATCAAGCTCCGTCGGAGAACGAACTGAGTTAAAGATTTGCTAACTTTTAATAAATTGTAATATCACTTCTCAAACAATGAAATTTTGAAATTTTGAAACTTTTGAACGTTGATGTTAAAGCAAAATATACTTGTAATTAAGCATTTCTTACGTGTTCAATTCACCGGTGATGCTAATCATAAGTAACGAATGTAATTCTCAATTCCAAAATTCCTTATGAAATTCTAAAATTCAAGATCTTGGGGTTGAAAAGAATAAAAAAACTTATGAAATTTTTATTTATGGTACATATTTTATAATGATATTTTCGTTTATATAAAAATAAGCTTTATACATTTAAAAGATACTTTTTACAAATACTTATTAAATAACAAAAATAAGAATGATATAAGAGCAAAAAATTCAAAGTACAGGTATATTTACATACCATTTGTTAAAACAAGGAATAATCCACAGACATTATTTGGGGTCTGTGCCTTGAATTTTTTTTCTAAAAATAGATTTACTATGTTTTTCTTAATAAAAATCTTGTGTAACAATGGCTCGTAGGGTCATTTTCAAGGCACAGACCCATTTGTTCAAAAATTCAAATATTGAAATTCAAAAAATCATAGCGATAGGATTACATGCAAATTTGATTTATATAGCGAATAGCGGTCAAGTTACAGTTGGTCTTCAAATTTAATTAGGTTATGGGATTCGATATACAAGAACATTTTAGGGTGCAATGCCCAGCTGATCTAAATCTTTCTTGTAATTGTCAATAATCGTAATAACATGTTCAGATGTTAAATCTTCTTCTTCACTTTCAGCAAACATTCGAGCGATGTGAAGAACATTACGAATCGCTCGACCATTTAATTTTTTGTCAAGAATTTGAGCAGTTATTTTGAAATTAAGTTTGGCACGATTGCTTAAATTTGTCCAAATTTCTTTTCTAGTATCTCTGTTGAGAGGAGGAAAATAGAGGAACAAATTAATTCGTGAACAGATCGCCTCATTAAAATTATATCCACGGTTAGTTGTTAAGAAAAGAATTCCTAAAATATAAAAGCAAAAAAATTAGTATCTATCCTCTTTAAAAGCATTATGAGAAAATAATAAATATTCATACCTTGATAGTATTCAAGCATACATAAGAATACACCAACTAATACATTACGGTTAATGTCGGATGTACTACGTCTTTCTAGATAAATATCCACTTCGTCAAGCAGAAGGATAGCATTCCATGTGTAAGCGATTCCTAAAACCTTTTCTAATTTAAATTCTAGTCTAAATTTAGCAAAAAAACTGAGGTAAGTATCTTGGCAAAATTACATTTTTAATTAACCTACCCAAGGTAGGATCATATGAAATGTCGAATAAAGTTCTTTTCCGGCATCTGATTGGCTGGCAAAAGTGATCAGTAAAAATTAGCGTAACATACAGTACTGGGGTATTTCATATATTAAATAATCAAGTCTATATAAGGTATTATAATAAAAATTACTAGTACGGATTTTTACGTATTATCTAATATTTTTGCACCCATGAAGATCCTAATATACCCGGCAACATTCTTTCAACCGAATCTTCAAAGATTCAACATTAAAACTATTACAAAACTTTACAATGAAGCTTTACCTATAATATGGTAAGAAACTCTTTTACACGATTATGATTTTAAATTTTCTGTTATCAAAGCCAATTCTTAATACTCATGATTAAAATGTTTAACAATCATAAAAGTTGACTTTAAAATAGTCTAGCATTAAAACTATCATAATAACTTTTAATAAAATTTTACATATAATATGATTAAAAACCTCTTCACATAATTACAATTTTAAATTTTTGATTATTAAGACCAATTCATGACAAACGCTCATCATTTAGCCGAGGCATATATAGCGAAACAAAAGAAAAAATTCCTACTAATGGAATAATCAAAAATTATCGATTAATTAAAATTTTTAAATTGTAACTTCATTTGGCTATATCGTGCCAATTGTTTGCTACAAGATTTGCTAGAAAAAAATTACTTGTACATGAAATATACCAAATTTTTAAACGCTTTTTTTCATAGTAATTTACTAGTAAAGATGTATCAATTTTGCCGATCAATTTTATGTATAAAATCTAACTGTAACAGCATTATTATTGATCCTTAAATCATTTTGCCTAATTAGTATTTGAAATACCCCAATACAGTATGTACAGAACAGTAAGTATAGTACTGTACGCGGCACATCACTAGTCCTGACTATTTTATTTCAATAATTAAAAAAAGATAAGCTCAATTAATTTTCGTATGAATTAAATTTGGGACATGATTCACGATGAATCCCGTGACTTTTACATTTTATTTTACTTTGAATTTAGATTATTTAACGTTAAAGAATATTTCATGCCCAATGCAAAAATTCGATTACATATACTGTATATATAAATATTCAAAGTTTAATGCTTTCAGCGTTAAACTTTTTGTTTGGATAATTATACAATACAATAGTTAATGCAGTATTTAGAAACAATTTGCTTGGTTTATACTGGCACTCCCCAAATGCTAATTTTGTTGGAAACATTGCTTCATTCATTTTTTTTCATCTTATGCATTTCATTAATTCATATTTGCATCTTGTGCAAATATATTGATTCTCATCACTAGCAATTAAGTGTACATTTTGCTCAAAAAAGATACAAAGTAATTTTAAAAAATTAATTTGGTTATTCGAATATTCTTGCACCATTAAATCCATAATATGTAATCCTAAAATTGACATGCTTTAAAAAATTTTATACAATATTAGAAGCTCTTTCAAAGTTGCAATTACTGTAATTAAACTGAATTGTTTTTATCTCAATTGAAATAATTATCGAGAGGAATGTAAATTTCAGATTAGTCATTTACCAATACAATGATTAATAATTTAATTATTACTTTGTAGGTTTTCTGCCTTCTTTTAATTATTTAGAATTAACAGTTAATAATTATATTCTGCCAAATCAAAAAATCAAACAATATATAAATAGACATTTTTTTTAAGTCATATAATTAAGCTTTGTCACAATTAAAAATACTATACATACCTATTATAAATTAAAAATTTACTTTTTAAATACGTATTATAAATTAAAATCATTCTTAGTCTGTCAAGAATTTCAAAAAAGATGTCAGTAAACTATAAAACTCTTGATGAAGAGTATGAGGGCCTGTTTAAAACAGGAGTTCATGCTTACAATAAAAAAGACTACAAAACCTCGTACTGTTGTTTTTCTTCAATTGCAAATAGAAATTCAAAATTCAAAT